ATGACGATTAAACAGGAAGCTCCAGTATTGGATCTTCACATACTGCAATCCATTGCCTTTCCCTCCTCTTTGGGGTGAGACAGCCCACTGTAGATGTTCTTTTTTGAGAGACTAGTGCTTCTCTTGCAGCTGCCCAGACAGGGTCTTGTTCATTCCGGCAGTCATGTGAGATATCTTACTGATATCAATATGTGTAAGTGAGCTGTCCAGCACATATTAGGCTGAAGTTGAGACTTGCTGTAGGGTGAGAATATGTAGGATTTTTCTCCTCTACACAGTAGATCTAGAAACTTAATCATACCATTGCCTGACCACATACAACTGATGTGGTTGTTTTCTCAGGAAAATTGTCTCATTTTCTTTTGTTTTGTATCTGTTATGATTATTTGGCTTTGTACTCTTGGCCTTTGAGGAAAGTTTTTTTTTTGTCTTCTTTTTTAATTATTTGAAAGTGACCTCGAGCTATAAATGACCTCATTGCACAATAGCCAATTTTATAAGTGAGGATTATAGTGAAGGTTTTATGGATATGTGACTAAGCACAAAGAGAAACTAATAAGTGGAATCCTTGAAAATTTGGGGCATCAGTTAATCTACAACAGTAATATGCATTTAGGATATTTGTATATATGTATGCAATATTATTTGCATGTTGAAATGTTATTTTTACACATCCTTTGTCGAAAGGCACTAATATTTAAATCTGCATTTTCATTATGAAATTTAGGAAATTTTTAAAATAATAAAATGTTGAAAAATATGTATTCTAGTAACCAGAAAAATATATTTATATTTCACATTTTGGTGTATTCTTTCCCGTGTATCTTTATAGTATTTTTCAAATAGTCATACTCATTTTATTTATATACACACGTCATTACAAAAAAGTTTATAACACCAAAGATTTATTTTTGAGTTAGAAGTCTGGAAAGCACAACTAAAAAAAAGTTTTGGACACTTTTTAGGCTCTACTACCATCCTGGATTTCATGCTGTTGTTCTGATTGACACTCTTATTAGCAATATATGAGATTACTAGATAAATTACACTCTAACCCAGTCAGCATTCATTAAAATATATATATATATTGCCCAGGTCCTATTTATTTAGACCCCAGGAATGTAATGGTAAGCAATATTATACATTTCTATTTCCTTCATGAAACTTACAATACAGTTTGGAGAAAGAGATCAATCATACAATTGCACGAATAAATGTGAAATTCAAACCATGAATTATAAAGCAAAATACTAACACTTGTTAACCTCCATGGTGGGTACATAGATATAGGTTGAATTAGTTCTTGTAACTTTAAATGTATTAAAAATATTTCAAAATTAAATAATTTTGATGTTTTAAAAATGAGTAATGCCTATGAAGAATGCTGCCATAAAAGTGTTCAAGGGAGGAGTCTGAATTCCTGACAATTCATGTGTCAGGAAAATGCCCCAGAGGAAAAGTTGATGGAGCTGAAATTGAGAAGGAGGAAAAGGAGTAAAATATGCAAAGATTTATGCATGTGGATGTGTGCACAAGGAAGCATCTTTATGCAGGTGAGAATATCTGAGACAGAGAAGGTTAAGAGGATGGGATAAATGTGGGGGATTATGGGATATTTGTAGGCAGCCAGCAGTGACCCAGCCTGGGCTATGTGCAGGGTATGGCGTGGAGTAGTAGAAAACAAAGCTGGGCAGATAAGATGGGGCCCCACTGCTGCAGGGCATGTGAATAGTTCAGTGGATGGCCAGAGCCACTGCATGTTTCCTTTTCTGATAGATTGGAACAGGCACACGGTAGGTGGGATAACTACCTAAGAGAGGTTACAAGGGGCTGAAGTGCTACCAGCAGTGAAAATAGAAAGTGAGCGAGATTGTGAAGACAGCATCTGCAGGAAGCAGGCAACTGTTTAAGTGGAATGACAAAGGCAAGCACGGTGGTGATCTTGAGCGGCTGAGACAGTTCACATGAGTCATGAAGTCAGGGGTACAAGTACAAGGAAGGAGAGTGACACTAGATGAGTTGAAGACTACAGTATTAGATCTGCAACTTTGGTGAGGGTTTCAAAGGTGCAGATTTATTGGAGATGTGGCCAATGGCAAAGTAGGGCAGATCACAGAAGAGATTTTCAAGCATTTTGATTCTAGCCTCATGTTATTGTTTTAAATCACAGATTCAGCTCCAAGTATGCAGGATTTGGGTTTATATATAATTGTGATTAATCTTTAAAAACTTAGTTTAAAAGAGAAAACAAGATTGTCTTTGCATTTTATTTTAGGTTTTTAAGATGGTTTAGGTCAATTGTTCAACTTCCAAAAGCCATGTAGTTTACTGGTTAGCCGGGGAGGATCATGTTTGAACCCTCAACTGGACACTTGTCAGTTTTGTGCTTTTTGTCAATTACTCCATTGCTCTGTCTCCACTTGCTCAGCTTCAAAGCGGGCTTCCCATTAAGTAAGTTGTGGTGAGTTCAATGAGTTAATCCTGTAATGTACTTAGAACAGTGCCTGGCACCTGAGAAAAGCACAATCAATGTTATTATGGTTTCTAAAAAGAAAACATCAAATAATGTGAAACTAGGTACATAGAAACCAATTTGGTTTCATTTCTTTGAATTTAAGTGAGAACTTAAAAACACAGTTCCGTTGTTTTCTTTATACTTCCTTATTAGAAATGAGAATGTGAGCAGGAAGGGCTCACTTGGCCTTATGACCTCTAGTTTCATCCATGTTGTGACAAATGACATAATTTCCCTCTTTTTGAAGGCTGAATAATATTCTGTTGTGTATAGATACTCATTTTCCTCATCCATTCACTCACTGATGGGCACCTAGATTGTTTCCATATCTTGGCTAATGTGAATAATGCTGAAATGAATATGTGGGTGCAGATATCTCTTCAAGACCCTGATTTCACTTCCTTTGGCTATGTACCCAGAAGTGGGATTGCTGGATCAACTGAGTTGGTAGTCGAATTTTTAATTTTTTGAGGAAGTTCCATACTGTTTTCCATAGTGGCTGCATCAGTTTGCATTCCCACCAACAGTTAAGAGGGTTCCTTCTTCACATCATTATCAATACTTATTATCCCTTGTCTTTTTGGTCATAGAAAAAGAAAAAAAAGAAGTGTTCTCTTTAAGTGTGAGGGAGTTTGTGGTGGTTGTGTGTCTTGTACTGCCTTGCCTGACCTACTTAATTCAAGTCCAGAAGATGTAGTAAGCTAAAATGTAAAATTATTAAAAATAAATAATTCAGAACATAAAGGTTTTGCAGAAGAATTGTCAATCCCTGAAATCCTCTGTATGTCTTCATGGCAATTAAGAACCCACCTTTTTACCTTTGTCCTCTTCTTTTCCATGCTATTTATCTTCAGTGATGAGTGTAAATACAATGCAGCATAAATAATTAAAGAAATCCTCAATACTTTAGAGGGTTGGTAGCCCAGTCAAATTTTACTGAGTGATGGGCAGACTAAGATGCAAGAGTAATTTTTCCACTAAAGCATATCTTAGAATTGTATACTAATTTTTAAAGGTGTATACTACAGAATAAGGAACATACGTCAGACAATCCCAATAATCACTTAGATTTTTTTTTATCCTAGTCTTCTAGAAGCATCTACACTCTATTATATTTAGTCACATTGATGTGACACTGTGGTGTTCATGCATTATTCCCCAGATTTTCTTCACTCTCATTCAATCTTTGAAGAAAATCTGTGTACCATAAATTCACTTTTCAAATGATTGGTTATAGCATATGTACAAAACAATAGATATTGGCATTTTCTTTTAAATTTTTGAGCATTAAACAAAAAGCTAAGGGTATTCTGGTTTGGAACAGCCTTTTTTTTTTTTTTTGGCATGTGTATTTTTTGTGTGTGTTCACCTGTTGGCAAATCCACAAATTTTCTGTCAATTACTAGGTAGTAGCCTTCATCATTCTATACCATTCTAATGTTTTGTTAGTATGATCTGATTGCATTTGCATGTCTCATTCAGCAGTTCTGGAGAGGTGCCAGTTGCCATGGCAAGAACTATGATGTCCAACATCAAATCTAGTCATGAGATGGGGATGGCCTTTGAAAAGCTACATATAAATATTTATATTCAAAGGTACAACTGTTGGTCCTTTGCGAAGCCTGGGTCACTTGAATGGTTATCTTTTCAATGAATCATCAGATGAGAAGTCTGTTACCATATTTCCCTTTTTGTTTTAATAAACTTCCACTGTCCTTTATCTTTTGCCTTTTTGGTTAAGAATCAAATCCATATTTTATAATTTCATTCTCCTTTTTAGATATAAATCTGTTTAATATGTCTAATTTGTCTGGATTATGGCCACAGAACTGACCTCACAGCATAGGTTTGTTATTGTGCCTTACCCTGAGTTCAGAAATCAACTTTTCCATTTTCCTACGGGTCATGCATGAGTACCAGATGCTTCCATACCCATTAGAGTAACCCTTTAGACATCAAAGAAACACTCTCCACAAGAGGGCTTTTTCTAAGAATGCATATCAAAATATTAGTTTGATTAAAAAAATACAGGTTTTTCACCTTTTGGGATTACTTGTCAAATTAAGTAAAAAGAAAAATCCATTTAAAAGCCTTTAATAAGGTTTCTTAGAGCCAGAAGTGTGTAAAAACTCTTGTACATTCATCCTGAATGATATTAAACTATTATACCAATTAGTTTAGGACTTAACTAATAATTAAACCAATAGATCAAGTAGCTTAATTGTTTCTGATTAATCATTGAAATCCTCACATTAGTTTTATAAAATGACCCATTTTCTGCAGCTGCCAAATGCAGCTTATGACCTTCTATGATTAGTATGCACCAGGTTTGATAAGTACAGAGGAATCTGGGAGACATAGAATAAAAGGTGCTACTTCTATCAAATGCCCTCTTCTGAAAAAGAAAGAAAAGAACCAGAAAAAGAAATAAAAAACTCTATTGTGACACGTTGTGAGGCTTATGATAACTATGTTTGCCTTTCAGATCCCCAGCTCAAGGGTATAGTGACCAGGTTATATTGCAGGCAAGGCTACTACTTGCAAATGCACCCTGATGGAGCTCTCGATGGAACCAAGGATGACAGCACTAATTCTAGTAAGTGACAACCTCAGGCCACCCGCTAACACAGTTGGTAGAAGATACGCTGCTACAAAAATGACTTTTTAAACTACATTTACAAGTATTTGTTACGTTGGTTCATTTTTACAAATGTTACACGCTAGAAGGCCAGTCATAATTTTACTTAGACCACATGGATGAAAACAGGAACAGAGCAACACCAGAAGCCTGTTGTTGTAAGATAATTAGTTTCTCTTTCTTTCTTTTTTTTTCCTTAAAACAATCATCAGACCCAGCATTCTTGTTACTTTTATCTCATAAAAGTAAAGTAAGTACACTAGTGCATTTAGATGAAAGATGAATCCATGTTTCCTTTGGAGATATTTTTATTAGGCCTGTAGGTTTTTAATGGTAACTGTGGAAATTCAAGAGCTATAAGGATTAGTTGTTTCAAATCACAGAAATGTAATTTTTCAAATTCTTTGCATTCAACAGGAAAAGTTAGTATCTCTTTTTTAAAGAGAGGACATGAAGGCTCTATGCCTTTAAATACATTGTACAAAATGTTTAACTACTTTACAGAATTGGGTCTGTGATGACTTGTCTTAAATTGAAAAGCCACTGACCCTGGTTGTATTGGTGTTTCTTCATTTTACTGTTTTTAAATATAGATCTTTTCTTCATATTTTCATTTTAGTGTCCTTCCTTATCCAATTGTCTGTTTTTTCCTTTCCCATTTTCTATTTATACTAGTACTGGATTCCTTTTAATTTAGCACATCAGTTCTAAAATAGACACTCTCTACTTCTCAGGAGAATTAATGAAAAGCAAAGACTGATTTTATTGGACATATTTATTCACATATTACTAGTGGATCAGGAATGGATATGAATTTTTTCATCCATTTAACACTTACCCTTCATATATAGAGCATCATTCCATGAAAAGAAGGGAGGATTTGAATACACAAGACCAAATTATAGGTACTTTCTGTTTCAAATTTTAGTAATCAAATTTTCAATAGCACTGAGAATAGCTAATAAAGGAGACTGTTTTTGCATTTGGTGTTACTATGTGAAATGTCAATATTTTTCCAGCCATTGCATTTACTTTTTAGATTTTGGAATTTGCTTCATTTTAAATTTTTCTTTCAATTTAAAAATTTTTCTGTTTGCATTTCCTCCTTTTAAATTTCTAATCTTTTTCTCCCTTTGTGTCTATTATGTTGTCCTTTTGTCCTTTTAAACTTTTCCCTATCATATTTGTTCATTGATTCTCTGTCATTGTTGTTTATTTCCTTCTTCGATTTAGAAGAAGAGAAGGTAAAGCAGTTCAAACACAAGGAAGAAAGATAAGTTATTTTTACTCATAAGAGTGAGGTCAACTATTGTTTAGTTGTTGGGATTTTGCTATTAGGTTGAACTTTTTAAAAGTATAAGTCCTTGACTATCTTTGATCTATAAAAGATGTCAGTTTCTTCTAGTTCAAGCTAACACATGCATGTCTGCTCATTTTCTTCTCCCTATCTTTAACTCCTACCCATTCTTTGACAAAAGGCACTCTCTTTCGTTTATGTCTTATTCTTGTGGGGGTCATGGACTCTTGAGACTTGTAAGTGCTGGTGTCTTCAGTATTCTCTGATTTCCTTCAACAAAGTTCAGTGGAGCATGAGCACTAGTTTTCCATAACTCTGATCATTGTAAGATTAAGACATTCTGACTTAGAAGTTGAGGCCATGCCTTATGACCAGGTTTTTAAGAAAGGAAATAAACCATAGCTATATGGAAATTATGTTTAGTTGAACTTCTCAGAACAAATAATTTCCTTCAAAGTTTTTATGTATTTTTTCCTATCTTCTTTGGTTTTTGTAATGCCAAACAAGTTAGTTGTTTTTAATGATGGAAATCAATATTGAATTAAGAATTGTTAGGTAGACACCATCTTTTATAGCATATTACTTCAGAACTCAATAAGCAGCACGATATTTTCTACACTGTGAAAGTGCAGATGTAGGCATTAAATGCACACACGTAATTATATCTGGTTATCTGAAGAATATTTAACACTAAACTGAAAAGCTGAGACACAAAAGATACACAATCTTCTGTTTCATAAATGTGTGAGGCTTTTCTCCTGCTGCATAGCTGCATTAGAAGAAACAAGAATCTTGGGACAACACTTGAAATCCTCTCTAATCCCCCTATGTGCTGATGAGGAATGAGGAGTTCCTGTGTACAAGCAAACCAGAACGAAGTCATAGCACCTACACTCTTGGGGCTTGCATTCCTGTACAATAACTGGCCCATAGCTTCTTTACTTACAAGTTCTGTTGGCATTTTATGTTCATGTTTAACTAGTTAGGTTAGTTTTGTTACCATTTCAACATTTGCAAAGACATAGCAGAAGAGAGCAAAATGGGGTATGATAAAGATTCTCTCCTCAAAAGGCTATAAAAATTGTATGACCATAAAATTTAATAAAACTTGGCAGGACTATAGCAGCTTTATAAAAGCAATGGGAAGTTACTAATTAACACTACTTTTGTTGCCATCACATTTGTAAATGAAAACCACACTGTTTTTAGGTGGAATTTAAGATTATTTCCTTTTCTTTGGTTCATTACAGCAGTCTTAGGAATCTTGAGAAAATCATAAACTGTGAATAGTATTCTATAAAAAGGGAGGGAGCACTAGAGATGCTGGCAGGCAAGTCCTAATGGGAGCACAGTCCTTTCATTTGAGGAAGTGTGTGATGTAGCAATTCACAGATGCATTGCAGATTTTTGATAATTATTTGAATATAAAACAAAGATTAATCATCTGTAAGTAGGGGAAATGAGAAATAACCTAAAAGTCACCATGATGCCCCCCTAAAAATTACCAAATGACAAAACTGAGGCTTGAACCTTCAAATCTTTGTGATTTGAGTTGTATACATCTCCCACAACTAAACATGAGCTTATTTAAAACTAGGTAAAGTCAGAACCACCCAATTAAGTTGCCTTTGCCCAAATTTTCAGATGAGTTGAAAAGAGAGGGAATGGCCAACAGGCAGGTGAACCTGACATACTAAAGTCTTCCCAGGGCTTTCTAGCCTCAGATCTAGAAATCTCCGGGAGGAAAGATGGCAAGAAGATGGTTGATAATGGATGATTGGTTCTAATAGAGAAGATACTGTAGCAACTTGAGTGTTTATTGGTTTCCATGTCTTCTGGAAAGATCTTTAACAAGAAGAAGTGAGTATCCAGATTACTTCATCACCATACTTATTTTCAAGGGTGTTACTTGTTTAAAATTATTCGAGCTTCCCCTCTACCTACTAAATGTTACCATTACTATGAACTATGGCATTTGATTAAGAGGTGGTTTTCTTTTCCCCCAATTGGCTTTTGGGGATGCCATGAGGTTTTCCTGTGCTCTTAAACTCAATACTTCCATTACCAGACTTAATAAATGCTACAAGCAGAATAGGACTATAGAAATATCAATATGCTAGTAACTATAGCAATATTAAAATTTCACATGAACCAGTTCCTCTCACCTTAGGAATTCCAGGCCTGATAATTTAATGTGTAAAAAATTGCCCACCACTCACATTGATCACCTCTGCACCATCTTGGGATGGCGGTTTTCACTTCAGCTGTACTTCTGGGTCATTTGAGGAACTTAAAAAAAAAATCCTTATGCTCTAAACCCTAACCCCACCTCCAGAGATTCTTATTTAATTTAGTCAGTCTGTGGTTGGTCATGGCTGTCCTCTTTTATGAATACAGCTAGTTTTAAAGTATAGCCAGGGTTGAAAATCACTATTATATGGAAAACTAGAGTATTCCACAAATAAACAAAGTAGCATGTACATCTTATTATTCTAACTCCCCTAGGCTTTGTAAACATTGCTTTATAATTATATAAAATACAAAAGGAATGGAAAAATATAATGATGTCTCAATTAATTGGATATCTGTAGTTATAATTAACACCATGGATTCATTATGGTCAGCTCTGAATGACCTCCCACATGACAGTGGTTATATTGATTCACTTTGTATTATCATTCGTAAATGATAATAACTAACATTTTATAATTCAGGTCCCAACAAAAATCTTAGGGAAAAAAACAGAATTTTTTTATGACCATTTTAAACTATCATCTATAATTTTTCTGTTTTCCATATCACATTATTTTGGTGATTTCATGATGTTCTTACTTTCTAGAAGTATAACAACTGGCCTATATCAAATATACGGCACCTACAAATACCATTAAGATTATATAAAGATTAGAATAATTAAGTTTCAGAGGGTTAAGTTAGAATAGTTTTCAAGGAGAGGCATACAATTATGTTTTTCCTCCAGAATTTTTGCACACCAATCAGGCATTGTTCTATGGTGCCCATCTTTTCAAAATATAAGGGAGATGGGACAGTTTAGGTGTTCTGGCTAAGAATGGAATGGTCAATGGCCCTTTCCCATGAAGAAGGAATACTGAGTTACAATGACACAAGTACCTCATACTGCTCAATGACTCCCACTTATGTTTACTATTTAAGTAATAGAAGTGAGCAAGCATAAGCCTCATTCTTCCATAACATGAGCCCCTAAAATCCCATGGAAGATGGTCCAGTGTTATTTTGCATTGTGAAAGCTAATATCCACCTAACCATAAACATTCCTTGAATATTCCTGTAGGAATAATTATCTACATCCATGGCCACCATGTCCTTTCATCAGAAACATCTTGAGATCTTGGGATCAGTAGCATGTAATAATTGAAAGAGAGTGTATAATGGCCCCCCTCATTCTGAGAAAACATATGGTGCCTCAGAATTAAATAGAAACTAATTTATAAAGTCCATTTTTAATTATGTTCTTAGTAGGCCCATAAATTGAAGTCAATGTTGCCTATGTTTTTACAATTATTTATCTTTTTTGGAATATAGTTAAGAACTTGACCTCAGGTATTTTGTTGACTTGTTTACTTCAGCCTTTCAGTACTGTTGTTGCCCGTTCTGGGCTGGTCCAGTTGCTTGGAATTAATCTTCCATTAAGACCTTGAATGGAAACAGATAATCACACTGTGGATAATTAACAGTCCTCTTATAAGTGCATCCATAATAAAGTCCCCCAAACCATCTAGCAGTTATTACTAAGAATGGTGCTAGAATACTTACTGAAGAGCCAACATATAACCTTGGCATGGAAACCTGTTATGAGGATGTTAAGGTTTTTCAAAACATCAATGATAACATTGCTTTCTGTACTATGTGAAAAATATAAAAATACATTCCTTGTCAATAAAGAAAGAGATGAAACGTGGAAATATAAATTAGTTTTTATCCCTTAGATGGGGTAAATTGAACACTTTTCCCTCTTTTATTTTTATAGTTTTATGAGTTATTAGTAAAGAAAATGTCTCTAAAATGTGCATGCCATTCAGTATGATTAGTTCTTTCTAAATTGAGCACATTGGCAGGTGCACATCTTTTCTGGGCTCTGCTGGCATCTCATATTGGTTCAGCAAGAGTAATTCCGTTTTGGAATTACCTTTTTAACTTCTGGCCTGTCCTACATTGCAGTGATAAAGCATACTTTCTGCATGAAAGACCAGAATAAGCATTCAACTTGGACTTTTAAAAATTCCACTCTTTGAGAATCTTCAGAGATGATTTCCTTTGGTATCAAATGATGTCAGAGACTGTGATATGGGAATCATGATTACAGGCCTGATTCTGTTTATTGTTCTATCAGTTCTTCAGAATGGTATAAGCAGACCGTTAAGATGTACAAAATGAAGCTCAAGTGCTAATTTTACCCATTGCAGAAACATTTTAATTATAAAGAGAGAAATAAAAGTTAATTAATTGGAACTTCTCAGAAGTTTGTAACAAAGATTATTATTTTTTTAAATAAAAGAAATGAGGGAGGGAAAAGTGATGGCAAGGTTTTTGCTTCTCTCTGCCCATTCATGACAGGCCATGTTTATCTTTACAGCACTGTTCAACCTCATACCAGTGGGACTGCGCGTTGTTGCCATCCAGGGAGTGAAGACAGGGTTGTATATAGCCATGAATGGAGAAGGTTACCTCTACCCATCAGTAAGTAACAAGCCAAATATATTGGTTATTCATTCAATGTTTGCAAAATACCAGTAGCAGCAAAAACAAAAATGAAAAGGATCTGTATCTATTGATTCTGCCATTTTTGCTTTAATATTTGATCTCTACTACGATGCTATATGGGCTGTTTATTCATTATTCATCAACGTTTGATAATATCAGTATATCAAAGAGAAAAGTAATATTACTTCTTAAAGTTGTGCATTTGCATATTTTTAAAAAATGAACGAGTTTGTAGACAATTGAGTAATTTCAAAAGAATTGATGTTAATATGTTTTTTATTTCTCTTTAGAAATGTACTTGTCTTAGAAAGTTTATAGTAGAAGATTATTTTGTAAAAAGAAGCAGAATAACATGAATTCTAAATAAGAAAATTTAAAGAGTGTAGTTCTTTTAAAAATAGAAATTCAGGTTGTATTAATGTTTTACTGGGGAAAATACTTCTAATGTAAAATGTATATTGTATTTAAATCTAAGCAAGTCTTCTTTGTTGTGTGTTAATGTGTACTAGAAGTTGAGTACCTTTTTAGCCATATGACATCTTCTGGAATATTTACTATTTACAAATAATTCACACTCAGATTTGTTATATCTATATGTTATAGTGTAGTTAGAAGTAATTTCTGCCACAGGACCAAGCAATAGGGACCTAGATGAAAGTATTTCTTTTCACTGTCCTCTGAGCAGAAATTGCCAGGTTAAATTCATGGTGCCTCAGAGAAAAATGCTCTTATGTGGGTTTGCATGTCATCTTCATATAATTTTTTTAAAACTCTGCTGTTGCTAAATATTACCATCAAAAAACTAAATGTAAACGTATATACAGACTCACACACACACACACACACAACTTAAGCAGAAATATTCTCTGGGGCATTTTCTGGAGCAAATCTGGGAAATCCTGTCAAATAAAATGAAATTGAGTTGCGGATTCCCTCTGTGGTGAGCTGGAAAATGTTCTTGTTATTCTGGAAGCTTCATCTGAGTCCCCTGAAGGGTGTTCCTGCACATAGACCTGGGCCCTACATTATGCAAATCGCATTCTGTTGCATAAGATGAATATTCAACATTCCGAGACCAAGATTCAGCTAGAATTCCCTGTCCCCCACTTTAGGAAAAATATGATTCAGACAAAGATTACTTTCTGGAGATGCTTTCATTCAGATACAACTCAATTTTATTGATTTGACATTTGTTCTGTTATTTTTGTTTCTTTCTTTTCCCTCAGGTAATCTTTGAGATGCCTAAAAATTATTAGCTGCAGCATCTGCCATAGCCTCTAGTTGTCTGTTCCTATTGAAGATTTTATTACACTGTTTGTTATGCTCTGATACATGTTTTGATATCAGGGGACATGTGAATGTTTATTTTATCTTTTTGCTACTGAGGGAGGTATTTTCTATTTTTTTGTGATGAGGTTGCACATGTATACCTTTTTTTTTTTTAAGGAAGGGAAATCATCTTGAGTGTGTGTCTTTGCTGAAAATACAAGTACAGGCTATGTTTAGTGCAGTCAAAGGAGCACAATAGGAATAGAAGTGAGGAAGGCACTAATACCCAGTCTGTGAAGCCTGCAGCCCAGGAATCAGGTCTCATAAGCTAGCTATGGGTGACAGCATCTACCCCAGGATTTGTCTCAGTGACAGCTTCAGGATTATTATTGAATAATTATTCACTACTCTCACCTCCCTGGTTTTCCAGTTCCTGGGCATCTGATGCTCCCTTTTGGTGGCTTGGTTCTCTGATTTACAGATGTTGGCTTTCTTCTCTTTCCATCTTCCCATTTTGACTCTGCTTTGAATCCAGAATCTACTAAAAGGCACTCTATCTGCCCATCCCCTATCCTGAGAGATCCCCACTGCCTAGGCCAGGCCCTTACAATCTTCAGCTATCTTGTAGGAAAAGGACTTAGATACAAACCAAATGTGATTCCCAATCTTTACTAATACTCCATAGTTCAAGTGCTCTGTTTATTTCAATGTAATGAAATGTGAACTACAAATATTTCAGTAAAAAGAATATATTTCCATAGTCAATCATTTATTTCACAGTGAGTGTCTGCTAAAATAATAATATAGCATAATACCATATAACAATTGCCATACTATATAAATAATAAGTCTACTTATATAATAATAATAATGGCTAGTATTTATATAGTACATCTGCCCAACACTGTTCCAAGCAGTGCACAGTTTTACCTTATCTAATCCTATTAAGCAAACACTGTTAAAATGATCATATTGATATACAGAGAGTTCAAGAATAAGGGTGCCTGGGTGGCTCAGTCAGTTAAGCATCTGTCTTCAGCTCAAGTCGTGGTCCCAGGGTACTAGGATCTAGCCCCGAGTTGGGGTCCCTGTTCAGTGGGGAACCTGTTTCTCCCTCTCCTCCTTGCTTGTGCTCTCCGTTATCTCTGTCTCTCTCCCTCAAATAAATAAGTAAAATCTTGAAAAAAAAAAAAAGAATCTGTTCAGTCTCCCAGGTAGTAAATAAAGAAGACAGGATGTGAGCATTATTAGTCTGACTCATTAGCTTACTGTTTCACTATACTACTTCCATGTGCCAGACATTTTTCATCATATGATGTGGCACCTATTCTAACAAGAAGGTATAAATGCGTGATGATGTGATGAAAACCTTTAGGGAATTGTTACTTAGGGAACAAACTTCATTTCAATTATTAAGAAGTATAATTTGAGACATAATCCGTTTCCTTTGGAGATTCTCAAATTTTAAAAAAATCGTAGAAAATTACATCTATCTGGGAAAAGTTTGATATTATTTACTGAATGTTTAAGATTCTGAAAATTTATTACATGTAACATTTGAAATTTAAATTTAAAAAACCATGCCAAACATGGTTAACTCAACTAAAAAGTTTTGAAGTAAGTTAGGTAGGTGTTATAAAAGGAAACCTTCAGTCGACCTCAGGTTTAAAGAAAAAAAAATAATAAAGATTAAAGTTTTGGAAATGAAGTAATCTGTTTTAAGCTTATACCCACTTTCAAAAGATCAACTTAATGTTTGTATGGTGTAAACTAGTGCCTATTAGAGAGCAGTTTTCTTGAAGATCTGTAGGTTTAGAAGATAGGAAATAAAATGCTCAAATCTTTCAAAAATGAATTCTGTTGAATGAAAAACACACTAGTATTTTGACTTGTGGTGCATATTTCTCTATTTGCAGTGAAAATAACTCTTATAAGCCCCTGCCATCCAAATAACGATATTCAGTTTGTTAGATAATTTCACCTGGGGGGGGGGGCAAAAATGTATCTTGTCTGAAATGTAAATAGCCACATTTCTGATGCTGAAGGAACATGTTCCCCGTGCAATCTTTCTTTGATATGACAATAGTCATTTCTTTTGTGGTCATAATGATCATAATATATTCCTTGAAGGTGTATATCAAGAGATCTAATGTCAGATATAAACAATTTGCTCAAAGGTAGAACACAGGCTACAAGGTCACAGAACAGAAACTGACAAGGCAATACTTATGTTAAAGAATTTGTTCAATATGATGTTTGGGAAAAGTGTATTTTGACTGACTAAAAACTGTCTATTGAGCTGTGAGGAGCAGTCCACTTTTTTTTCAAACAACCTGTGACATTGAAACACTAAGAAAATCCTTCATAGAGAGACATGGTTTGAATGTAAATTTGGAACACTGAAGAAAAACTTAGGATGAAAGGGAAAGGGTATTATTCATCATTTAGGCAGAGATAAAGATGAGTTGAAGTCAGAATGTAGTTTTGATAGGAGAAAAGAAAAAGAAGAGGAGGGAAGAAGGAAAAGAGATTGATGGTGGGTAGAGCTCTGGGCTTTCCTGGATCACCTGGATCCCAGATCCAGCTAAGACCTGTGTTGTCATGCCCCAGTCTCTGCATCTCAAGTTTCTCATCTGTAAAATTAAAAAGTTTGCCTGGATGCTTAAAGTTAATTTGGGAGTTAAACTTCTAATTTTAGTCTGATTGATTTTTCTGAATGATGAGGTATATGACATACATAAAATGTACCAAGATCCATTATTGCTGTCTTATAAAAGGCTGGCATTTATGAGAATATTATATCCCAAATGGTGCTGTAAATTCTTCTGTTACCCACATGCAGGCATCTGGGGCTGCAGTCAGCCCTGGTGTTCTCCCAAGATCAATATTTCATCTGATTTTCTTAACCCAGTGATACAGCAGAGAGAAAGACAATCCTTTTTCATGTAGGTTTTTTAAATGAATAAAAAAAGTACACTGCTACTGTGTTTTGTAAATATTTGGACTCAGAAGAATCACCTGGGAAGAGGAGGGAAAAGGTAGATTCCTTGGATCAGACTCCAGATATTTCAATTCAATAGATCTTGTGGGAGCCCCAGGAATCTATAGTTTAATAAGGATCTCCCTACTGCCCCTACCTGCCTGCTGGTAGGTGAGTCAAAAGCTGATAGCCCAACAATCAGCAACCACACAGCAAGCATTATTGCAATGGCTAGTGGGGGAGATGATGGTAGCTTTAGACCAAGGTAGTAAGAGTAGGGTTGTTAGATAGACTACCTAGGTACAGAACCCAACATTGAGGCAAATAAAATACTTGGTTTTCCTAACTTCCTCTGCCCCTAAATTGAAATCTATGAAAATGTGAAGCAGTATCTGCACTCTTCTTCACTACTGCAGCAATCAGACTCTCAATACACAATGAACATGAGCCAGGAGGAGGGATGAAATGATCTTTATTTAGGAAAACAAGGTAAATGCTGCATATTCTGGACAAAGCATGTTCAAGAACCTCAAAGTTTTACCTACTCTACATGCAGTAGTTTTCCTATATTGTACTCACATCTTTCAGAAATATTTTCATGAGCTTCTACAAAAGGGATTGTGCCTTCCCCCCTCTGTGCCAAAAGATAAAGATATGCATCTTTTATGTGTCTTAATTTGTGTTGCTTCAGCTTCTCAGGGCCTCTCAAGAAAGCCCCAGAGTCCCT